GCTTGCCATACTGATAATCGGTAGTTTTCGTGCGTTAGTGAGTGAGACGCGCGTGAAAGTAAAAAACCATTTGGACGGCCTACGTAGATATGGGACATACGCATCGGAATGACGGTAGGTGCAAACTGAAAGAATATGTAGCTGAGGATCGAAGGGCCTGGTTCAGCTGTGCGTGATGTGTGGGAGCATCCAGGCCGAACCTATTGTCCAAACGATTTTGGTCTGGTTTCTTTTTGGTTATAGTTTTTTGATTAATTTAATGAGCAGACCTGCTTTTAAAAGTAATGAAACAAAATTTTTCCAAATCTTATGATTCGCGTTGGAATGAGAATGTAGCTAACTATCATTTTCATAAAATGTGTGAAATTTTCCAGCATTCGATGAGGCGATGAAAAAAGGTGGCCTTCTAGATTATCTGTTTTCATTTCGACTTGTTCGCCTTGCACAGTACATGGCTATGCCGCTCACTACGGCAGTTCAGTTGTTCAAATTTTGTCAATGGTTTGTTAGCAAAAATATTTTGCAGATTTTTTGTTAATTGCGCGGACATTCTTTCTTGGTGCAAGGCGACTTTTTCGCATTTTTTGATTGTTTATGAAATTGAACATACTGGGATTTTTCAATCTCTCCGAAAAGATTTACTCAAAAGACGTCATTTTTTCTTGAGGGGGAAGAGGGTTTGGGAATGGAGGGCGTTTGTCTAATTTATTTTTGACCGAATGTATTCTTAGTAACTGGAGGTATTATTTAAATGTCATAATGACTTTTTAATGAGCTGTAATAAGACAAAGATAATTTTTATATTTGTACATTTGATCGTTTGTTCGATTCTTTCATTCATTTCGAGATAAAGTGGATTGGCATATACGGGGAAGTCAGATCCGCTATCGCCTTTCTACTAAGCAATTCTCGAAAGAGGTAATCATGGAAGTGGGTAGTTGTTGTTAACACTTGGTGCCCCAAACTACCTCCCGAGTGCCTCTTCCATTATACAAAGCGAATATGGTGAGGTTTAGGTCCAGACTTTTGGCTGGCGTATTAGAGGTGACAGTTTCGTCACGCGTAGTAGTTTTGATAGTACATCATTTATTTCAGCTGAACACGGGAGCTGATTTTTTCCTTATAAAATTTTATTCAATTTAATTACTGCAATTTCGGCCGCTGTGCAATCCAGGTGTGCAGAACAATACAAATAAAGCTTCTTTAGTCGTAATATCGGTTGAAATTCGAAAATCCTGAAGATAAGCTGTTGCTGTGAAGTGGTTCTATCTGTGATGAGTTTTTCCTTGCAGTTTAAGTGTTTGGCTTACTAAACGCATTTCGAAGCATGTTGTTGACGACTGGTACAGTACGCATGTGAGACAAATAATCGATTTCATTTTGAGTGAAATTCATACGCAGGAAACAAAAGTCTCCGCTCGGTAAGCCTGTATTCTTCCTGTGTGTGCGCATATTAAATGATTTTAATTCCATTAGGAATGCCTGGAATAGCTGTGCTTTTTCAGTTATACAGCTCACAGTTTTTTCATTTGCTTTAATCACTGCTGCATCGTCCGATGGTCAACATGCAGGCTTTAATTTCGTCTTCTGAGACAGCCAGCAGTTTTAATGGGTTTTCGGATAAAAGCATTTAATAAAGCTTTAGCTGTTTCGATGTGTCATTGGTGTGCCTGTTTGTATGTATGTATATTAGATAACACAGTCTCGTCTCGAACGTTGCTACTGCTAGATCGCGACTAACAGTTCGGCTTTAATCTGATTAATTTGAATTACGCTTTTGGTCTGGGATGTAGTGTGATTTCAACCACAGCACTATTTCGAACACGTTTTTCGAGTTAGAGTACACCGCTGAAAGTGTATCATTTGGCAGTTATTCACATGACAGTTCTTATAGCTCTGTGCTCACATTTTCAGGCTCAGCCAGCAGTTAGCTATCACTGAGTTTGAACTCAGTGGCTCAGGGCATCGTCCGATCTATCGAGAACAATTTCTTGATATCAACTTGTCACCAGAAGCAGTCAAGGAACGTGAAGCATTGCGTAACGTCGACAAGCTACTGACAAAAAAAGTGTCATCGTCTGTTGATGTTTTGGTCTGTTTCTCATTTTAATCTGGAAGTGAACCTCGTTTTTATGCATTTTTTTTGCATCTATGCAATTCAAAAACGCATATTGAGGAGGGTTGTCTATATCTGTATATCTGTGTGTGCGTCTGTATCGAGTTTTCATCTTGAGACTTACAAAAGCTGCAAAGCTGGAAGTTTGGAAACTTAATCTACGTACCGACCCTTTCTCCAAAGTGGAGCTTGTGCCTACACAGTTCCCACGTACGCTTCTGTGGAAACCCGGAAACCAGAGAAGCTAGAAAGCTGAAATTTTGCGGGGACGTTCTTCGTCCGCGTAGAACTTGATGATCTCAAATTCATCTCCCAGGTGTGCTTTTTCTCGCGTACAACCAAGTTGACCTTGGAAGCGCAGACGGCGAAGATGTAATAAAATTCAGAAAGAAAGAATAATATAGGAGAGAAGACAAAAGTGAGATAAGGCGTTTCGGCCATTAAATCATAGACGTCTTAACTCAGGCTGTGATTGTGGAATTAGCAGGAGTAAGGATAGAATAAGAAGATAAGGAGGTAACAAAATTTAAGAAGAAATTCTAATTTTAATATTAAGATTGAAAAAGAGAATTTAAAAAAGGGATTTAAAAAAAAGACTTAAAAGAGCATTAGAAAAATTAAAAATTGGCCAACGCACGGGCTGCCCGTGCGAAGATGCGTTTTTCGCAGAGTTCTCTGCAGTTTTTGTCGCTACCGGCATCGGTTTTTTCGGCAGATGCTTCTAGTAGAATGAATTTGAGACTGGCCGCCAGAACTGTTAGGAAACATCCCCTCAAAATTCCAGTCTTCTAGCTTCT